ACATTAGCATTGCAACACCCTATAAGTCAGAAACCACCCTTTTATTTAAACGGCACGTTAGGATGAACTATTTGGACAACTTTTGCAACACAGTAACTAAAATGTATTTAATATATATACATACATATAATTTATGTATGTATGTAAATAAATACATAATACATAAATATTTGTGAAACTAAAAACGTATAACAGCGGCGTAATTGTCGTGAATATGACATCAACAGCCGCTAGAATGATTGCTGTAGCATAATACCGATTTACATAAATAATATCCTACTTTTTCAAGGGCTATGATTAGCTTATTGATTTTTTTTTAGTGAAACTTCTTAATCGAGTTCGGAGATGTTTGGGTTAAATGGGGCAGATGATGGTAAATATACGAGATAAAGATTAAGATGATAGGGAAGGTGAATATAAAGGCAAATGTGAAGATGAAGGTGAAGATAAGAGAAGATGTAAGAATAATGAGAAGATGTTGGGGGAGCTGAAGACGAAGATAAAGGTGAAGACGCGATGTGTGGAATCCTTATAGGGAAGCGAGACGTATTTACCGGAACAAGAAGAGAGAGGCCGAAATATGCGGGATCAGTCTTCTAAGCATAGGCTACAAGGCCTTATCGAAAGTATTGTGTAAAAGTCTGAAGCCCAACATCAACGAACGGTTTGGGCCTTATCAGTGTGGCTTCAGACCTGGTAAATCCACCATAAACCAGGTATTCACAATACGCGACTTCAAAGCCATTTTCGACAATACAACAACGAGTACCGCAGACGAAGGAACGATGAGTTTTACAACGGAATGACCATAGTGCAGAGAATCAAAATACAGAGGCTCCGCTGGCTTAGCTATGTCGTTCGAATGGACATCGACGCGCCAGAGATACACAGTATAAAAAATTCAGTTTGTATAGGGCTGCCACTCTCTCCCTTTTCCTATAACTCTCATAATTCTCCTCGAATGTGGAATCGGTTTTGTATTACTTGATACCAAGTTCCAGTACTCTATTACAAATACTTCCAGAGATAAATTGAATATACCTACTTATATATGATGTGCCACCCCCTCTTTTTCAATAACGACCACTTTTTTCCATGTGTACTGAATTAATTTCAACCAACCAAATTTCAGTGCACTCTAACAAATACTTTCCGAGATATGTAGGCATTATGAAAATGTCTACTTGTATAGGCGGTGCTACGCCCCTTTGATATATCTAAATTATTTTAAGCCTATGACCATCCTTAGAATGTTTAACAGGGCGATTCTGGCACCTGTCTTAAGATCTGCTAACGAGGAGGTCTTAGCGTTATGCTGTTCGCCTTATAAGTTTTTTTTTATAAGCTTTTATTTAACTTGGTCATCCCGCGCAAATCGCGGAAATTTCCAATCGGTTTTAAACTGACTTCCCGACAAGTTAGAGACTTGAAATTTTCAGCATAGTTCCAATCACGATGACAGTGCAATTTAAAATGTAAATGAATTCCCCATATGATCCAGGGGTCTTGATTCAAAGGCGGTCAAAAAATGGTAAGATTTATGGCTAACAGAGCGTAATTTGCCAAAGAACGTAAAACCACTATAAAATTGTTAAACCTGCCGGCGCGCCGCAGCGGTAGTGTAGCAAAGCTATTCCTAGTCTAGATATGAACCACGTTGTAGGCATCATATCAAGGAGATACAATTAGAAGACTGCTGACGTCGCCCCGCCAGAAGAAGTTAAATATTGCGCCTGAATATATGCCATGCTACAGCGGAAATGGACGACACGCCATTTCTTTAAATAAAATTAACTGCTGCTATATGTACATATGTATGTTTATACAAAACGTAAGCAAACAACATTTTGCTTGCCAAGTCTTCTGTTCTCTTTCATTGCAAGTTGAATTATTTTAATATCTATTGCAAAATTTTGTACATAAAATAAAATAACACTTTTTAATATACAACGCTTTTATAAATGGACTAAAAATTATAAAATAAAATAATGTAAAAAAAATATTTTTTAAAAACAAGCTTTTATTTAACCTGTACAATCAAAGGAATAAAATAAAGTAGTGTAACAAAAGATTTTTTAGCAAGAAAATTTTGTCAAAACTGCACTAAAATGAATAAAATAAAATAAGTTAAGGTCTCGTTAAAGTTACTAAAAGGCATTCAGTGAAAGGAGTTATTCAAACTCTAATGAAAATTACTAACAATTTGTACTCATTTACTTCGTTTTTAAAAAAGCTTGTCGCGCGAATAGCAAACCGGCATTTAAATATCTGCATACATACATATACATACATACCTAACCAATTATGCAGGCCAGGTCTTTTGAACTATCTTGCCTTCTGTCTTTCATTTCTTTTACGAAAGACTACTGTCTTAGTGTTGCGAGCACACACGACAGCTAAGAAAACAAGACTAAAAAGTAAAACACGAGTGCTCTGCTTGAGACAAAATAGTGAACTAACTGTTCTGGTTTATTAAAATTCATACTTCAGTAATGCGAATACATAGTACCGTTTATAGCATATATACCCTATATGATATGGCATTGCTTTACTATTAATACTCTCATCTCACAAAAAATGCGTGTTGCTTCGGATGCCGCTATGTACTCTGCCTCTGCCGTGGATTGCGCAACACATTTTTGTAACTCAGAGTTCCAACTAATAATTCCTTGGCCCAGCACAAAACATTGACCCGAGGTCGACTTTCTCTTTGCTAGATCCATGGCAAAATCTGAGTCACTGAAAGCAGATAAACTAAACTCGTTAGATTTTTCAAAAAGTATACCGTAGTCAATCGTTCCTTTGATGTATCTAATAATTCGCTTCACGGCTGAAACATGCTCATACGACGGGTTCTCCAGAAAACGGCTGACTAATGAAACAGCGTATGTAATGTCCGGGCTTGTTCCAATACTTAAGTACATCAAGCACCCTACGGCCTCTCGATATGGAAACTTAATTGACGTTGTTGAACTTGAAACTTCTAAACGGTGTGAGCTATCGGCTGGTGTCGAAACAGCATTTGAGTCTTGAAGACCAACTCAATTTACCACTTTCAGTGCATAAGTACGTTGACTTAAATGAATTGATCCATTTGAATGACGATTGATTTCAAAGCCCAAGTAGTATTTTACTTCGCTGATTTTTATTTCAAATTGATTACATAAGAAATCAACAACTGGTTTGACGCTCTCTTCACTTGTTGAAGTTATCAAACCATCATCGATGTAAATGGCTAGAACTGAAAGATTGTCACCTTCTCTTCGGACGAAAACGCAGGGATCGACCTTGTAGGCCTCGAAATTGAATCTTTTAACGAAACTTGTAAATTTCTCGTCCGTGACGCCTGCTTAAGCCCGTCAGACTATTGATTAGTTTGCACACCTTTCTGGTTCCGTCCTCATATCCTACTGGCTGCTTCATATACACGTTTTCTTTTAAATCATCATACAGAAAAGAAGTTTTCACATCAAATTGCACAGTGTTCATTCCGCGATTAGCTGCTAATGCCAAAATAACACGAATCGACGAAAATCTTACGGATATCTTATTAAATCTTGTCGGATATCTTCTCGCCCAAATCTGACAATTGCTGCACCAATTCTTGCAAACGTGAAATGTATGTGACCATATTTTCATTAGGTTCTTTATGCATGTCATAAAATTTTGGTACAAAAAGTGAATGCTTGTCTCCGATTTTTGTTCGTAAACACTTTTCAATTTTGCCCACATTTCTGCCGCTGTTTTGCAATTCACGATATGCAATAAAGCTTCTTTGTCAGTTGTCGAGGATATCCCTCGCTGGGCCTTTATGTCGCATTTGTTGAAAAATGCAAGTTTTGACTGCAGTTCGGAATCAGATGCTACCGGTGGCTTTTGCTCGGCCGTGACGTACTCATACCTTCATGAAATTTCAAGACAATTGTGATTTGAAATTAAATTTCCACAAAACTCAATCTTTTTCGTCTTTCAAACAAAATATTTTATCGAGATCACAATTGCTCATCTTTGAATATGTGAATTTTTATAACGCGGTCGAATTAACAACAACAGTTTTTACTTTGTCATTCTTTCTTTTAACGCAAAGGCCAATAACCTGTTGCGAGCACACACGAAAGCTAAGAAAACAAGACTAAAAAATAAAACACGACTGCTCTGCATGAGACAAAATAGGGAACTAACTGTTCTGGTTTATTAGAATTCATACTTCAGTAATAGTTGCGTTCCAGGTGCTTCACGATATTCACGAAATTCACGATTTGCAGGAACAGCTGTTTTCTCCATTAATAAACTTAATGGGAGGTGGTCACCTGGAACGACTTCCTGTAAAAACCTGCAAATCGTGAAGCATCTGGAACGCAACTAATGCGAATACATAGTACCGTTTATAGCATATATACCCTATATGATATGGCCTTGATTTACTATTAATACTTAGCCAGAAATGCCCTGTAAAGTAGGTGTTTCAAATTTGGTTACGATCGGTCAAGTGGCTTAGGACGCAACTCCGTGCGTATCTAGATATGTATATATATACATACATATATTATTGAAATTTCTTTCTTTTAGGGATGGTTTTCGATTCTTAAAGTCGATTAATCACCTCTGATAGTTGACTATGTGACTCAAAATTACGTTTTGAAAATTTGCAAAAGAAATTGTTATTATTATGATTTGGTAATGATGACAACCATCCATACAATTTATAAATATCCACACAAAATATATACAGTAAAACCTCGAACACTGAATATATCAAAGTGTGAGCGCACAAAGTTTTCCATGTATTTTATATGGAGAAAAAACAACTTTTCGTAGAAATGGCGCTTTGAGCACTCCCGAAATATTTTTTTGATTTCAAAATAAAAAAATTGGGGAATATTTTTTTCGATATAGATCAATCCTAGGGTGTGCCGGCATTAAAACTCCGACTTTATTTTTTTGGACCACTCTACTGTATATGTATGTTCATATTGCATATTTCAACTATTCCAACTAACCTTCAAATCGTGCTTTAAATATGATCTTCTATCACTGGAACTTTTTCTGTGTAGTGGCCTTAAATCTGCGCTAAATCCGGCCTTGGGATCTTGATCTCCATCCAATACTTCAACGAGATATTTAATATACAATATAGCCAATTTCAACGTTTTTATCTGAAATTAAATAATAAAGATGGCGAAACAGATTTAGAGTTGCATTTTTGTTGGCTACGAATCGAAAGTTTGGAATTTTTTAATTTGAAAATTTAAATTTTTCGAATCGTTCGGAAACAAGATTACAATCTTTAGAACAATTTTCTGTAAAAAGTATGCACAATCAATTTTTCACATACATACATATGTGTAGTATATACAAAGATATAATTTCCTACTTTGCTTACATTTACATAAGTAAGATATTTTCTAAGTACATACATATTTATATAGTACTTAATGCACATACATACATATGTATGTATGTAAGTGGTTTATTTACCTTGGATAATTTTGTATCTGATGGTACATTAGGAATTTTTTCTCGTAAACATGTAAAAGCATTGTTGATACTTTGTGTTCTTCTTCGTTCTTTTTTGTTGGCCGTATTTCTTTTCTTAATTATACGCACGGCAGGCACACCGACTGTTTTTGTTGAAGTGGGTGTGAGTAAAATCTCATGAAAGTCTTTTTCCGTATCTAGGAAGAAATGTCGAAAGGTAAAAACATCAAAAAAATTGTGTTTGAATGGAAGGCAAATTTTTGAAAGAATAGAAAAAGAAGAACTGAGAAAAATAACTACGATATTTAAATCTGAATACTAGAGAAAACTTATAGAATTCGTAAAGGAATCATTATTTTCCTTTCCGATTTTTTACCGAATTTTCTAAGATAAAATGTACACTTTGATTCTTTTTTCGAAATTTGGAAAGGAAATTGATAAAGCAATGAAAATAATGCCGAAGGATTTTGTCCGTCGCACGCCACGCGGGTCGTGTATAGGAATTACCCATAAAAAAAACACAAAATAAGTGAATACAACAAAGGGAATATTGAATAAAATAGAAGGAAAGAAAAACTTCCAAAAATTTGATGACAACATTTTACGCATTAAATTTAATACGCATCGATAGACAGGGTGTCCAGATTGTTTTTAAAAAAAGCGCAAATCGCCAATTTGTTCCTAATTCATGAATTCGATTAACAAATCTTTTATTTAAAAAATGAGATCTTGTTATAATATAGTTTTAAAACCAAAAACGAATATAATACCTTCAGAGGGTAATAATAAATAACACAAATCACTTATATAATAGTGATGTACAAACAAAAAAAAAAAATACGCATACTTTTTAAAAATATTTGTTTCAACACATTTTGCAATAGGACTCCGCAATTATTAAATTTATTATAACTCATATTAATTGATTAATCGCACAATCCGTTTTAAGAGCTCGGCGCTAAAAATTAAATAAAAACCTATAATGAGGCGAGATCAGCTATTTCCACAATTTTTTGAAAATCACCTGTAGTGTCTGAATTATTTACATTTCTGTTGTTGTCATATATTGAGGTATACAACCTTTATAACATACTGTTTGATATTGGAAACGTTTTGCAGCAGAAACTATTAGCCTTCATATAACACTTGATTCCAACTATTGAATTATATTTATATTTCGAATATTAGTTTTTGTTGAATTCATTACGGAAAAAATGCGCTCAACAAAGCATGTGAGTGCGGCAAGGATAATAATATGAATTTACTTATATTTCCAAACAGTTTATTGCCTGTTGCGGTTTTAACTCCGTAAGCAATTATCCAAAATTCTTCAGAGTCGGATGGAATGATGATGATGATAAGTTATTCCATGCGAAAGTTAAAAGATTTAAATATTCAGTTTCCGCTGCTTTTCTTTCCATCAAAGTCAAATAGTGAATTGGCAGGCCTCTGAAACTCGCCCTCTTGTGATTCACACACTTTTTTGGTGACAAAATCAAAGCTTTTTTAAAAGTATTTAATTGACTAGGTAATCGTTTCAAAAGTTCTACGATTATGGTGATTAAACATTTTTGCCAGTCTTTTAATATGCTTCTTAAGTCAAGTTTATCACGCAGTTCATTAGCCTCTTCTGTAAAATTATCGTGGAAAACTAAGTTTTGTATAGATATTTTTATAATTGGAAAAAATTTATTTGAAGGGAAAAAATCGCCCAAAAACCGCCAATGGCGATTTCCTAAATTTTTACGCGCAAATATCAAAAAAAAATCGCCAAATTGGCGCGAAATCGCACAAATCTGGACACTCTGTCGATAGATTTCGTAGTTAATATTTGTATTCTATTCAATTTATCAGATTTTCTGGGATTTCTTTGGCCTTAGCAAATTTTCGCTTCAATATGCAGAAATCTGCGGAAATTGAATATAGTTACGATGTACCTTTAATTTTCCCCGCTTACTGTATCAAAATGTTAGTAAATAGTGGACTTATCAACTTTTCACTCTAAGCCAGCGATTCAATGCCACTTTGGCATTAACACTGTATTCTGCGAGTACAGATTCTATAGTTGAAAGAAAAAATAAAAGAATTTTGTCAGATTTTTACAGAGTTTCCTTTAAAATGTACATACATTTCTTTATCAGCTCGTATCGACACTTTCATATGATTTCATTTGAAGATTCGTAAAGAAATCGTTGGAAAATTCGGAAAGCACTTCCGATATACTTAAAGAATTTTAAGCTCTATTGAAAAACTCAAAGTAGCAACTTGGAAGCTAGCATATGTATAAAAATAAATACTTTGGCGCTTACACTTTTGCTAAGTGTTTGGCCGAGCTGCTTCTCCACTTTGGGGTGTGCGTCTTATCAAACAAATGGAGAGACCCACAATTTGGCGCCGCCTCCGAAAGGCAAATGGATTTTATGAGAAGCGTTTTTAAGATAGAAATACACTCTGTGGTTTACCATTGCCTGTTAGAAAAAACTATAAGAAAAATATAGGCAAGAATTACCGTTGATTTTTTAGAACTTTTTTTGTAGAGGGTGTTGCAAATTTTCTTCCATATAACGCATGAACAAAACTGATTTTTATATGGAAGAAAATGCGCAACAACCTCTACAATAAAAATTCCAAAAAATTAGTGGTAATATTTAGTGACTTGAAACTTGCAACTTTTAAAACCACATAATCGAGATCTTTCTAGGAAATCTAATTAAAAAAACCAAATTTTGATGAAAATTCTTTTAAGTTTAATAAATTTTTGTGAACTTTGTGCAAAGCTTTGAAAGTTTTATTTATGTGGTATCTGACATAGATCGACTCATATTTTAAATGAAAATAATTAACAATAAATAAATAAAGATAAGTTGCTAACATCATCATTTTGAATTTTGCTGCTATTATTTTGACGGCAACTGTATCTCTCAGTTTGTTTTTATCGTTTTGTCAATTATATGTCTACGTACATACATACATATTTTTGTATGAACGGTATGTATGGAAAAAAAATCTGGCAACACTACATTTAGCTTACCTTTATTCACAGTTGTACCGTCATTAGTAATGTTGTAAAATAAAATATAATGTAATACATTAATTTCTTACCATCAAATTTTGGCGATGAACCAGAACAATATTGTGGTGATCGGTAGAATGAATTCGAAGATAAATTAGTTCCCGGACATGCATTAGTTATATAACAGCTTGGATTGTTACTTGAATCAGAACAATATGACGCACTCCATTGTTCTAAAATAATGGAAAAACGTTTATACATAAATATTTAATAAATGAACGCGATCTCTTTTTTAAAGGCTTTTCACATAATGATCTTCCATAAAAAAATCCAAAAACAATTGTTGTAGGGTTATGGAAACTTACAAATGTATGTATGTGTAGTGACGAGGAAAAGTATTTGCACAGAGAATTTTTCGCAATATGTGCAAAGTTTATCAATCTAATTTGGCTCCGATATTTTTTTTTATATATAGTTTACACCATGATAAAGACATAGCAAGGTAGAACCGTTCTTTCAATTTGTCGGCCATAATTTTTTTTTGAAGTTTGCCAGCATTTTAAAATCATATAAAATAGAAAATAAAAAATTTAAATTGCTAAAAATTGTTGTTGCTTGAGATTGAAAATAAAAATGTGTGTGTGAGCAAAATGTATTTAACAAAGTTTGATTGAATTTGACATTGCTCTCAGAAGAAGCATCCTATAATGTCAAATTGAAAAAATTTTGTGTGAATTTTGATTCGATTGTTTATATTTTTTGGCATAATAGTAGGTACCTTAAAAGAGAGCCTACTTGAGTTGTCAATCACACCTTGTTTAATACACCTTGTGTGTGAGTAAATTTAAAAATTAAATTGCTTGGAAACGTCAAGAATTTTAAAAGTGCCTCTCAGCGCTTCTACCTTACTATATTTTTATCATGGTTTACACGACACCAAAAAGAAAACATAAAGTCAGGAAAATTCAAAATAAATTTGCATTTAAATTTCTATTTAAATTTTTTATAACCCATTCAATATTAGTATAATAAAGTGCAGGTTTTAAGTTGCTAAAAGATCGCGTTGATTTTTGGCAATATTTTACGCACGGTGTTATTATTTTCTTCCATACAAAAGAAAATGTCGAATGTTTAGAATTTTCCTAAACAAGCTCAATAGAAAGTTTCAAATTAGTAAGCAAAAGTATTGAATTTTCCTGAGTTTTTAACAAAGATTTTATTTTATGTTTTGATGTGGTATATATCTTTAAAATAAATTCGAAAAAAAATAGAAAAAAAAACTTTGCACACATTGCGAAAAATTTTATATTCGCAGATTTTAGCGTGCATAACAATTAAATAAAGGACGCTCAAAATAAGTGCTGGTCTTATATTTTTCACCCGCCTGTCAACAATGCTCTTTAAAATACACTTATGCAAGTTTTATATGCAGCATGTATAATAAATAAAGTTTCATAAATTGCACTTTATTTACATCAAATTAACAAACAACTCAAAAATGCTTAACCGACTTCAAAAAAGGGGAGGATATGAATTACTCGGAATATTTTTTTTTTATTTTTTTTATGTATGCTACCGCAAAGGGCCGGCCGCAAGAGTTCTCTTTGGGGATTTTAGGTAAAGGCATTCGTAACGACCAAGAACACTGAAGTATAGACAAAAGCTCTTTTAATACTGAGTCAACATTAGCATCCAGATTGCGATGAATATTGAGAAAAGCTAGCCCATTGTGTGCTCGTTCTCTGCACATGCCTTGACATTAGCCTGCACCTTAGTTGTATGGAGAAATTTTTTTGTTAAGCTACAAAGCAAGACTCCCCCTAAAAATTTTCCTTTGATCATAGAAACGTGCCTTGTTAAAATCGGACAACGGAAAAACGTGCCTCGAAAGGCCCTAAAGTTCAGCATTTTCATGCAATTTTGGTCACAAAGTGGTAAAAATTTTCTATAAGTCAGTGGCCAATTTAATATATTTTTTTGACACTTGATGTAGTTTAGTGCTTTTCTTTATTCAAAACGCGAAAATTTTTAAGTTTTGTGCTTGGTGCGTTTTTTGGTGCTTTATTTTTAGTTTGAAGACACCAAATCTGTAAATCTTAAAAAAACGAAGCTAAATTAATTGCAATCGTAAATATTTTAGCAACTTTACAATATGGAAACAAAATCATGGCACAATGACAATCGTAAGCGAGCACATGTTTGCCAACAATTTTTTTACACAAAAAGATTTTTCCCATTATGCGCTCGAATAAGGCACATTAAAAAGGGAAATCAAATATCGTTGTTTCAGGTGTCAAGCAGTCGGAAAGAAAAGTTCTTTATGTTCCTTTTGTTCACGAGATCATAAGAGACTGCAGTGTCGGTTTAAACTACCAAATAGTTCATGAAACTTCATTTTTTGTTTTTGCTTTCGTTTGACTGAAATTGTAGTAAAAATTATGCAAACCGAAGAAAAATTTAACATATAAACAATTAGGAAAAAATTCATACATTTTTCTTGAATCTAAGCGAAGCGAAAACGCTGGACATAGCAGCAAATTAGAAAATAAGAACAAGAGCGTTATCGTCGCTTAGACGAAAATATTTGAAAACAGAAAGAGTTCGACCGTCGAGCAAGAGACATTGATATTTATTAATTTAAATCAGCGTCCCTATAAAAAAATGTTTATGCATACAAAGTCCATTAAATACTCCGATAAAAATTTGGTGCTTTTTTCGAAAAAACGCGATTTTTCTTTGTGAAAATTCCATGAATTTGCTAAACTTTGAGGCACGTTATCCGATTTTGACCATTTTTCGCAGGTCACGTTTTTATGACCAAATGAACCTTTCTGGTGGAGTCTTGCTTTGTAGGATAAAGTTGCAAAATAAGGCGCAGGCTACTGCACATGTATGATGATATTCATTGAATTATTTTGCAAAACTATAACTAAATAGAGGAGCGAAGGGTGTAATATACCATTATATATATATATTTTTGCTAATTTTTTAATGGGTAATACAGCCCAACAAAAATATAAAAAAAAATTTTGGTACGGTAAATGTTAAAGCTGTTTCTGATAGATTTTTTTTAGTACTGATTACGAAACCGTAAGCATTAAGTTCCATCAGCTCCAGATTTTGAAAAAAACGAGGTCAAAGTGTCAAAAAATCGCGGTTTTTGCAATATTTTAGAAGCTTTAGCAAAGAAGCAAAAGGTGATAGAACCTTCCAGGTTCGGTAAGCACTTTATCGATTTCCACCAAGCCCAGTTCATTTATTTAAATATATCACTAAGTCTAATTGAGCATATTATCGAAAATGCTTGAAATCGGGGGAAAACCCCAGCTTTTCATGTACATAGTTTAAAGAAAGGTGAAAAAAACTATATTTAATCCGCCCCAACTTATACTTCTTTACTTGTTAATTAAACAAGTAATTTTTAGCAAAAAAAAAACTGACTTAAAAAAAAATATATATATCTCTATATATTTCATGATCCAAAGATCGGATCTAAACCAGATTAGTATGGGACAGTGAAAAAGTTGTGGAACAAATATTGTTAACGAAGTGATATTCTGCCGAAATGCGCAATAAAATCTGCGTTTTGCTAACTTTAGTCCTGCAATTGCCACGTCCATTTCTAGGCGTTTGTCACCTTAAAGAAAAGTTCTGCTATACAAATATTAGACCTGGATAGGTATTCTATCGGAATCTGCAATAAAATTTAAATTCTTGCAAATACTCGATGTTTAACACCTTACTTAATGTATCTCAACATAAGTTTTGGAAAACAAATAAAAAAAAATAAAATTAAAATAAACTTTTTAAATATACAACGTTTTTATAAATAGACTAAAAAGTAGAAAATAATATTTCTCAGTCCCACAGAATTTGTTTTGATAACTTTTGATTTTGAAATTTTAGCAAAAGTCATTATAAACAATTAATGACATTGAAAACGAAAAACGTGGAGCGCATGCAGTACAAAGCATTCGATTTCATTGACAATAGTCAAACTACATAACATTCTACAGCGAAAGTACACATTTGAGAGCGATTTTAAGCGGTCGTTATTCATATGCCCTCATACATACATATGTTACTTTTCATATCAATTCAAGTTTATTACATGCGCCCCCGCTTTTCATTTTCAATGTCATTAAGGGCCAATTTCACAATGCGTAGTTAACTCAGAATCGACAGTTAACTAGAGATTTTCAGTACAATGCGTAGTTAACTCAGAATCGACAGTTAACCAGAGATTTTCAGTACAAAATTCTGTAGTTAACTCCCGATTCTGAGTTAACTACGCATTGTGAAATTGGCCCTAATTGTTTATAATGACTTTTGCTAAAATTTTCAAATCAAAAGTTATCAAAACAAATTCTGTGGGACTGAGAAATATTATTTTCTACTTTTTAGTCCATTTATAAAA